CAAATAGGTTATTCACAAGTAGTCAAGTAAGCACAATATGATGCAATATACTTGCAACCTAACCATGGCTCTAGCTCTCTAAAGTTAAAGGATATGGGTTAGACAAAGAGGGTCCATGGTTATGAGTCCTATGCACCTCGCGGAAGACTTACCTTTGGTAGGGTTGACGTGAATGGATGGGACCCCGTGAGTTAAACTTGCTTCCACAATTTGCCTAATTCAACAAACTCGGATGTACCCTTCGTTTCCATGAGCGTTTAATTGGGTAGATGGAGCGTGAATTCCCAGAGGGTTATGGCCATATGTAGAAAACATATGGGTTCAGAAAAGTGAGAAAAACTCAATTAGGAAGTAGAACCGAGCGAACATTAAAGGTATCGGTCGAAACAAAGAAGGTAGATTTTTGGCTCGGTATTGAAGAACATGGCGCAGGATAACAAGGCCTCTCGCCATAAGATAGCTCTGTCGCCAAATGACATTCCTGTCGCACAGCCATCGCATGACGCTGGCTCTTTTTTCCAAGCGCCGGTTTCTACATACCTCAACAGCTTTCTGTTCTTTGAATTTTCCGATTTTTCGTAGCGTTTTTGCGATCCTAGTTTTGAAAGATACTTCCCAAATTTCCTACCTATAAAAATCCTATGTTTTTGACGCATTACGGATAGTGTATCTAATGCGGACCTTTTTTTATGCATATGTCAATAATGTCAATCAAATTTACGCTCAAGAATACTTATAACTTTTCAAGTCTCATCAACTCAATCTAAATTATTGCCAAAATAAATTTTAGGAATTAAAATAGAATCCTCCTCAATGGAGTTGCCAAAAAACTGTAGGGAATATTTCAAGCATCCCACACTTGAGCCCCACTGTGATCATACACTTAAGCATGGTAGCGTCCAAAGGGAAAGGAGCTAGAGAGAAAGAGTCCCCAATAAGTTTTAGGAACTTGCAAACCGCTCACTTTGTGAAGATTACACCCCTTCATGATCAATGAGATCGCTAACTCCATAGTGGTCTGGAACCATGACTGGATATTTGGGGACGAAGGTACAAATCCAACCTAAAAGAGATTGGACCTGGCCTAAAAGTAGGCCTTATTCTTCTCATATTCATGTATGCTTTCTGACTAACATACAATCAATAGGTTAACCCTAAACATGTTTATTCTATGTTGGTTGAATATTAATGCACAAACAAAACTATTGTTGGCAATCACATGAATTATAATCATATTAGCCTAAACAAGATTATTAATTATCTTATTAAGTGTGATTATAAATACAAATTCCCTTTAAACATGCATAAAAAGCGTGATCAAGCAATAACAATAATAATATATCAAGCAACAATATAACAATTACACAACAATCATCATCATAATCTCAATAAAGCAATAATATATTAGCAAGAGCCTAGGCATGATATAAACAAGATTAATAACAAATACTAGCACGTCAATAAACAATTTGATCAAAGCTTTATCCCTAACATGATACTAACAAGATAGAAGAAAGAATAGGAAGCAACCTAAACATGATACTAGAAACACACGTGATATTAGAAACATTAGTTAATACCCTAAACATGATAATAGGAATCATAAAGACATCCTAACATGATACTAGGAATTCAAATAGTTAAAGCATGATTTCTATATCAAAAGAATAATAGAGTAATTAAATTACTTACTTCGATGCCTCGTATCTCTTTCTAATAACAAAATACACACGTTAGTAACTTCAAAGAAAATATTAAATAAAGCAATTGAATAAAATAATTGAAATAGAGATTTGAGACCAAACCCACAGAAAATAGCAACCTTTCACGTATAGGCGAATGCAACTTTAAACTTCGGTAGGGGTGTCTAGGACTTGTGAATGTGGAATTTTCTGAAAGCGAAGGTTTAGAAAGAGGGAGAAGAATAAGCTTCTAGCTTTTAGAGAGTTAAGGATGATTATATGATGGTTAATGAATAAAAATGGGGAAATACGCCCCTATTTATAAGAAAATAGAACGGAATCGATAGAAAAGAATCAGAATTTGAATCGAAATAAAACTGACCACTGTCGCCAGCGAGAAATGACAAGCATCATGATTGGCGACAGGCTCTGTCGTCTGGCGACAGATTTGTCATTTGGCGCTAATTAAAAAATAAAATGCGCTTTTGTATGGAATCCTCTTTTTAATATGATTAAGCAATTTAAATTTCGTTTTAATCAATTTTAAATCAGATTTTATCATAATAAAACACACATTTATTTCAAACCAAATTCATTATTTTTCTAAAAAGATTAATTATCAATCCTATTACTATTAAAACTAAAAATAACCTTCTATACTATCTTAGAAGATTAGAATTAATCCTAATACTTTTAGGAATAATAATTAATGGGCCCTCCACTAGATCATTGGGCCATAAAACCCTTTTAGACCCAATTAAGTATTTTGACCATAACTTCATCATTATTCATCGGAATTGGGCTTATAATATATCATTGGAAAGCTCTTTACGGTCTCGACCCAACTACACTATTATTAGACCCTTGTCATGGACCAAGATAAATTGGACTAGCTATTTTCATAAAATAAAGTAGATTTTTGAAAGCAGAAAGAAATATTTTATTAAAACGACCGCATCATAAGACTTTTCACACTTTCACCTGATTCGATAATCAAGCGACGTGAAAAGTATTCATCACTTTGTTGGGTTTTGGGGAGACACATTTGGGTGTCTACACCATCATATTGCAATAAACTGAATATATATTGCTGATGGGCGTTAGAACGATCGCACATTCCACACTCAATCAAACACATTTATTAACAAACACCCTACAAACCAAGCATAATGATAAGTAAGAGTTCGGTCCACAAGGAAAGAGATTTGGTTGCTAAAGGTCTTAACACTTAAGCTAATTTGAAGTCTATTGTCAATCGGGGTTTATCAAGTAGACAAAAAAAATTATGATTACAAATCGATGGATTAAAGACACTAGGGAATGGGATCCACTCAACCAAGGCAATTAGGCAAACGGGGAGTAAAATAGACAAGGTATAACAAGGAATATATGTAAAATCAACCTCATGCAATTAGATAACATCTCACACTACTAAAGTTAGATTTCTCATTAGTCTAGCAATAAATGATACATAATCAAATTGCAATAAGTAATGACATACTCAATTTACATTCCCATGTCAAACCAAGCATATCATATAAGCTATCAAGCTCCTAAGTCAAGGGTAGCTAATCCTATCATGAAGAACTAACAAGCAATCTCATATAACAATTTTAATTGCAATACAAACATCAATGCTTCTCCCACCTTTGCATAGTTAACCCAAAAGGTTGAGCTTCACCCAACCTCTAGCAAGAAGACTACTCATAACTCATGCTTATCAACATGAAAACAAGTATTAGGGTTCTAACTTCTTCGATAATTAGGGAAAAGTGAATAACAATTAAAATAACTACCATTCAATAACAAATTATCAAGAAGTAAGAAGATTTAAATATCATTCAAGAACAAATAAAATCAGAAATTTAATGGAGAAAGGTAAAAGAAAACTACAAATTAAAGCTTGAAAATTTTGAATACAAAGTGCCAAATATTAAGGATAAATCTTGAAACCAACTATTATAAATGATTAATTTGATGAAAACTAAGCTAAATAAATGTTTCAAACTAAGAGGATTTTCTAAAAACTAGGCTATTTATGTCTAGGTTACAAATGAATTAAAGGGGAAGTATTTATACTCCCCGAAACACATAGGGAAATCCGTAAAAAGAAAACGGATTCCCAGCGAAGAACGCCCGCTTCACGGCTAGGAGCGCCCGCTCCACGGCCAGGAGCGCCCTCTCCTGTGGTGTAACACCCTAGAAATTCCTTTATTTTAAAATACATGTTTTGCCTTGTATAAAACTTTAAATAGGAATATCTAAGACATTACCGCCACCGTGGAAATGGATAAGGCAAACATCAAAGATACACAGCGGAAGACTAATTTTTAAAACCTTTCTAAAACAAACCAACTTGAAAAGTTAACCAAACAAAAGTAAAGTTAAAACCAAAATAAATGAAGTAAAATGAAAATCAACCTACAACTTGGAACCATGAAAGGCCCTTATTAAAAAAACCAAACCAAATCAAACAAAATCGAAAACTTGATGGTAGCTCCATATATAAATAATAACATAAATAATTAAACAAGAAACACATTGTAAACTAATAGAAACTACATGATTTGCTCTTTACTCATGCCCCGTCACTAACATGCTTCAATACCTGAAAAACTTATCTCTACTTGTCTCCACTACTCTCCATTAAAAATGGGTCATCATAGGGCTAAGATAATACGTATTCTGGACAAAGTTAATTTTCCTCATAAGTGGGAAATTTATACCCCTTCTCTACTAACCCTTTCCCTAAATTTTTCTCTTTTATTTTCCTTATTTCTTCCCTAATAAAATTTATTAAAATCATATTTTCCTAACATAAACCCCAACTTTTATACAATTATTAATTCAATAAACTTTTCCTTTTTATAAAATATTTGCAAACTTATAAAGAATAAATAATTAAAATATCATAATTAAAACATTAAAACTATTTAAATACTTTTACAAAATACATATTGTAAATAAAATACGTATAAAAATACAGGGTTTTACAGTCTACCCCCTTAAAAGAAGTTTCGTCCCGAAACTTGGGGAAACAAAATTCAAACTTTTCCTTACTTTGTATAACATTGTTGTACTTTTTGTTATACCTTTACCTTATTGTGTCTGTTTGAGAGCACAATTACTCAAAATACTTGATAAAAATTGTGCAAAAAAAAAATAACTAAAAACATAGGGAAAAAGCACGAAATTCTACAGCATTCGACCCCCCTAAAAGAAAACGAGTTATGCCCCCATAACTCAAAATACCTGAAACAACTCTGGGTATTTCTTTTTCATTTCATCTTCTGCCTCCCAAGTGGCTTCCTCATATTCTTAGTTAGACCAAAGTACTTTCACAATCTTAACATTTTTATTGTATGTACTTCGCATTTTACTGTCAAGAATCTTGACAGGTCTTTCTTCATAAATTAAGCTTTGATCTAACTCAATGGTTTCAGGTTGTAGCACATGGGATTTATCAGGTATGTACCTTCTCAATTGGGACACATGAAATACGTCATGTACTTAACTAAGCTCCATAGGTAAGGATAACCTATAAGCTACCTAGCCTATTCTTTGTAGTATTTCATATGGACCAATGTACTTTGGGCTAAGCTTCCCTTTCTTCCCAAATGTCATCACTCTCTTCATAGGTGACACCTTCAACAATACTTTATCACCAACTTTAAACTCTTGTTCTCTAAGCTTCAAGTCTGCGTTGCTCTTTTGGTAATCTTGAGCTGTTTGAATCTTGGCTTGAATTTCTCTTACTTGCTTTACTGTATCCTCAATCATTTGACGCCTTAGAATCATTGTTTCACTTATGTCGTTCCAACAAATTGTAATGCGACACTTCCTCCCATACAAAGCGTCAAATGGAGACATTCCTATGCTCACATGATAACTGTTATTATAGGAAAATTCAATTAAATCCAAGTTGTCTTCCCACCCTCCTTGGAAGTCTATAACACAAGCTTTTAAAATATCTTCCAAGGTTTGAATGGTTTTCTTGGTTTGTCCATCTATGGCAGGGTGAAATGTTTTACTCAGCTTAAGTGTTAAACCAAAATTTTCCTGTACAATTTTCCAGAACTTTGAAAGGAACCTGGAATCTCTATCAGACACAATATCCTTTGGAACTCCATGTAGTCTCACAACATGTTTGATGTAAGCTTTCGCAAGCTACTCCATCTTCCAAGTCTCCTTCATTGGTATAAGCACTGCGGATTTTGTAAGTCTATCCACTACCACCCAAATGGTGTCATTTCCACACTTTGACTTAGGGAGGCAAGTCACAAAATCCATTGAATGCAGTCCCACTTCCATCCGGGGATTTCCAATGGCTACACCGCCCCTTGGGGTCTCTTGTGCTCTATTTTCACCTTTTGGCAAGTTAAACAATTTGCTACAAATTCTGCAACCTCATTTTTCATTCTAGGCCACCAAAACATCTTTTTCAAATCCTTATATAGTTTATCCCCTCCTGGGTGTACTGAGTAGGGTGTATGGTGACCCTCCTCCATCAACTTCTTTTTTACTTCCTCACATTTCTGTGGTACACACCATCAACCTTTGTCTCTTATACTCCCATCCTCATGAATCTTAAAGTTTGTAGCTTTTCCTGGTTTGATTTTCTCGCGAATCCTATCCAACTTCACATTTCCTTCTTGGTTTGCTCGTATTTTGTCGTTTATTATTGGTTGGATGCTTAAACTCGCTACAATACCGGCTAGTACACCCTATCCTACGACATCTAAATTTAACTTCATCATTTCCCTACACAACTCATTAACTACTACTAATGTGTTTAGTTCCTGACTGGGCTTACGACTTAGAGAATCTGCAACTACATTGGCTTTTCCTTCATGGTATTGTATATCTAAGTCGTAATCCGTTATGTACTCTAACCATCTTCTTTGCCGACAGTTCAGGTCTTTTTGGGTGTAAATGTACTTCAAGCTCTTATGGTCTATGTAGATTCTACACTTCACCCCATATAGGTAATGACGCCAGATTTTTAGTGCAAAGATAATTGCAGCTAATTCTAAGTCATGAGTTGGGTAATTCATTTCATGGGTCTTTAACTGCCTCGATGCATATGCAATCACCTTTCAATTTTGCATAAGCACACACCCTAAGCCATTCTTTGATGCATCGCTATACACATCATACACCCCACTATCATCTGGCAACGTAAGCACTGGTGCTGTGACTAGTTTTTGCTTCAGCAATTGGAATGATTCTTCACACTTATCATCCCACTCGAATTTCTTATCCTTCTTCATCAGGGTAGTCATAGGTTTAGCAATCTCAAAGAAATCCTTAACAAAACACTTATAATACCCTACTAAACCTAAAAAACTTCACACATCAGATACTGTTTTGGGTGTAGGCCAACTCTTAGCAACTTCAATCTTGGCTGGGTCTACTTCTACTCTATCCTTAGACACAAAATGACCAAGAAATTCCACCTTTTCCAACCAACTCACACTTAGAGAACTTTGCTTAAAGACTATTTTTTCTTAGCGTTTTAGAATTGCTCATAGGTGTTCGACATGCTCTTTTTTGCTCTTTGAGTACACCAATATATCATCTATGAATACTACCACAAACTTATCCATAAATTGATGAAATACCCTATTCATCAAATCCATAAAGATTGATGGAGCATTTGTTAATCCAAATAGCATAACTGTAAACTCGTAGTGTCCATACCTTGTCCTAAATGCACTTTCAGGGACGTCCTCATCTGCAATCCTCAATAAATGATACCTAGACCTCAAATAAATCTTTGAAAACACTGTAGCACCCTTTAATTGATCAAACAAATCATCTATTCCTTGTAGGGGATAATTATTCTTTATGGTTACTTTGTTTAATTCCCTATAGTCAATACACAATCTCATACACACATCTTTCTTCTTCACAAATAGAACTGGTGCCCCTCAAGGGGAAGCGCTTGGTCTAATGTATCCCTTATCCAATAAATCCTGTAATTGCTCCTTTAACTCACTCATTTTTGCAGGTGCCATTCGATATGGTGCTTTAGATATTAGGGTTGCTCTAGGAACTAAATCTATGGTAAAGTCAATTTCCCTCTTAGGTTCCAGGGATCTCATTTGGAAATACATCCAAAAATTCATTGACTACTTCTATATCTATCAGTTTAGTCACTTGCTCATGATCCATATTTCTAACACTACAAAAGTATACTGGATGCCCCTTCTTCACGTACTTTGCCAATTTAAGCACTGATATTAACCTTGGGCACTTGGTTTCACTACGCATCCAATAAGTCAATGACTCATTCTCTCTTGTGATCATTTTCACTTTCTGCGACCGACAACTAATCTCAACATGGTACTTACTCAATAAATCCATTCCCAGAATGAGATCAAAGTCACTCAACCAGAAGTCAATGAGGTTAGACAGGAATACTTTCCCTTCTATTTTTAAAGGCACATTTCTAAAGGGTTTGGTACATTTCACTACCCCACCCGTAGGGTGGTTATCAGTAGATCTACTACTTCTACTGATTTTAAACATTCTTTAAGTTTTGAAACAATATCCTTAGAAACAAAAGAAAAAGTTGCACCAGAATCAAACAATACTTTAATAGGAATAGAGTTAATAGAAAAAGTACTAGTGATAACATCTTTCGTGGAATCAACCTCATGCTTGGTCATAACGTTAAATTTCCCTATAGCTCCACCTCTCTATTGGTTGTTCCCACTGTTATTATTATTGTTCTTTACTTCATTCTGTTGTGCTCCCTTATTTCCTGTAAAGTTGTTGTTATTGTTACCTTTTAAATTTCTCTGATTTCCTCCAGAATTATTACTGTTCAGCCTGTTCCCATTGGTATTCTTAGAGAAACACTCATACTCCCTATGCCCAAATTTATTACAAGCGCGACAGGCAACCAAATTTCCTTCGCAATCCTTCCCAGGGTGATTGTTTCTACACCTTTTGCAAAAATAAGTCCTCCTATTCTTGTTATTTCCTTGGTTATGGACTCTAAGCCCCTCCATTGTTATTATGTCCTCCCTGACGATTGTTACCCTGGAAGTTATTATTGTTGTGGAAGTTATTGTTATTATGGTGGTACTTTTGCTTCTTAAAGCCGTTATGGTTTCCCTGTTAATTACGAGAAACTTGCCCCACTTCCTTCCTCTATTCTCTTTCTTCTATCTCAGCAAACTCCTTCTTTTTCTTCTCCTCCAATGCGTAAAGGTGTGCGGCCCTTCCATATACTTCAACAAAGGTCTCAAACACTTGCTCGCACATGTTTAACTGCAAATCAGTAGTCAAGCCACTTTCAAACTTTCTAGCTTTTGCCTTCTCTATAGCAACAAACTCTTCAGCAAAACGGGACAACTCAATAAACTTGGTGTACTATTCAATAACTGAGATCTTTTCCATCATAAGGTTTGAGAACTCCTCTGCCTTTTGCTTCTGTAGGAAACTAGGGTAAAACTTGTCTCTCACTTTAACTTGGAACTTAGTCCAATTAAATCCAGGTAGTGCTCTAATGGTAGCTTCGCTTTGTTGCCACCAAAGGTCAGCTTCACCCCTCATATAGTAGGTAGCACAACCCACCTTAGAATTCTCTGGGCATCCTACCGCTCCAAATAGTTTCTCTAACTCCCTCAACCAGTTTTCCAGTATGGTAAGATCAGGTTCCCCTTGATAGGTTGGTCGTTTACTTTAAGCCACCTTCTTAAAAAGCTCTCCCTTAGCATCCCCATTACTAGTTGAGTACCTTGCCAGTTGTTGGGCAACTGCTGCCAATTGCCTCACTACTTCACTAAGTTCATTTCCATCATTGGTAGTACTTCTTCCCCCTGCCATCTTTCTTCTCCGGAATTAAAAGAATAAGGTTCTAAGTTTAATATGGTTTTGGTTAGCTCCCAAGGCATATGCTCATCCATTAATTAATTACCCTTAAATCATAAACAATAAATTTGAAGCTAATAATTTGGGGTAATAGTGCTAAACTTCCCAAAATTTGTAGCTTAGCAATTAATTATTGATTGCTAACCAACCATACATTTAATAAAGCATCACGTAAATAAATAAAAATAATTCCCATGAACCCTCAAGGCTTGAATCTATGAGTCAAATTCAATTGCAGTAAGGTTTGAAAATTTGGGATAGCAATACAAGATTGATAAATCGGAGATGGAACTATTTGTTGTGATCGAGACGAATTAAATTTGCAGAAAGAAGTAAAGAAATAAAGTGGAAATTTTATTGACGTAAAGAAAGAATGAAATACTGAAATATAAATGAGTTTAATTACTTATGAATTTTCATAAGTTCACTGAATCTTTGTGGACATGCCACTTATTACTAGACTACGAACAATGATAATGCTGAAAATAAACTAAGAATTTTTTAATGGAAATAAATTTTAGGAGTCTAATCCTTTCGAACATTGTCTCTTTTGTCAGTAGATTTCCTGCAGCTAGCAGGATTAATTCACGTAGAAATTCCAAGCATTAATTCACGTAGAAATTACATCGTAATGTCGTTATTCTTATTTAATTAAACTCGTGAAAAGGACAAGAAAATAAACAAGATTCGCCTTGGCTTAAGTGATCAACCGACAATTATTTAATTCAATTCTTATATTTATTTAACGCAATATACTATGTGGAGATGATTAATTAATTATTTTAAAGGTGATCAAACAACACTAATTAATTAATTAAAGTTCTTTTGAACAAGAAAATAAAGGTGATTTAACTAAATTCTCGGGAATTTACCACTTCTTTTTGCTAGATATCCATTTAGAACACTTTTGGAATCCTTCTTGTTGGGGAACCTCCACCGTAGTAACAAAATATCGAAAGGGTGAGTCTTTAGGACAAGAGGGATAGGTTGCACAAGTTCACGAGTTATTTCGCCATAGTTATAGGTTACTTTCAGTCTGTTTAAGCCTCGGTTAATGCTATTATTTATAGGGAATGATTAGGTTTAGGGTTTCGTGCATTCGGCCGCAGCAGGTGTCGCGCGCAACCAATTGACTTGTGCACGACATCCTAGCGCAAGTGATTGAGTTTCGCTACTATGTGCAGCGCAACTAATTGTCTTGAGCGCGACTTTGTAATAAGATTCGATTTTATATTTTCCGTATAATTCCGAATAATTCTTAATCTTCCGCAGCGAGAGTTGCGCTGGGTGTCGCGTGCAACTAAATTAAGATTCGATTTTATATTAGTTACGCGCGGCAGCCCAACGTAGCTTTTCTAGCGGCAACACTAAGATTTAACCTAGGCTCTCCTAATCCGATTATTAGGGTTTAAGCACGGGCTTAAGCCTAATTATGATCGGGTTTAGTTAATTGGACTTTTGTTTTGGCTTTTTCTTTAATTTGGGCTAGTCTTTTGTATTTTGTGTCTTAACTAGTTATCCATAAGTATTTTTCACTTCGATCCAACATGAAGATGGTTTTATTTATCGTCATTGCATTTCCTTTCGGGTGAGGAGGCCAAAAGTAGATTTCTACAGTTAGCCCCCACTTTGATCGAGTCTAGAATAGACGATGATTAAAGTAGTTAAGGAAATAAATTCGAGACTCATTCTACGAAGTTCTTTAAGGATAGAGAATCTTTCATTAATGTTTAAGGATGTCAAAAAAATCCTTGGTTTGCTAAGTGTTTAGAACAAGTAGCTATTATGGCTATAAAAAGTTCTTCCTAGTCTTAACGCGCTAAAAAATCTAGATTGATCCTTTGCAATTGTAGAACGGTTTTACAAGTAAAAGTGTTCTAGGTGATGTCAGGTCATGAGAAGAGATCGGTTTTAAAAGGATAAAAAGGGGAAGATTTCCTCTCAATCGTGTCATCGTTGGTCTAAAGTCCCTCGATATGTCATTGATACTTTAGCCTGACTTTAACAAAGTAAAATATGAAAAAGGGGTTTTTTATATTAGAGCCAAAATGGTCCGGTATTCGAGCCGGGTCAGGTATTTGAGTCGGAAGTCCACAAGATAGAAATACATGTCTCAGCATTGGAGGCATATATCCAAATTCAGTGAGAGGGAAGAAAGTCAGCAACATCAGTTTTTTCCAAAAGATGAGTACACGTGTCTCAGGACTGGGGGCACGTGACTAAATGGGCGTGACATCGTCTTGTCGCTTCTTTATACAGGGGGTGAATTCGACACCCTAACTGTCCAGTAAGTTAGTAAGCGCACTAACTACCATATCCATTGAAAAAGTGTTTGTTCCTTATGGTTCGACGCGCCTTTAGACTCGTGAGCTAACGCCTACAGTAATTCTCTACCTTTTAG